TAAATAAACGTTGAAAAAAAAATTAAAAAAAAAATAAATATATATACTTTATATATGTATATTATACACACACACACACACACACACACCTTAAAGGTGTTTATTCTTGTCAGAAGTTGATAGATAACTAGTCCATGTTCAATGGACATGAACTTTGAACTTTTCCTAGGATTTCTCCGTATCTTGTAAATATCTATACATATATTTTCCATGTTAGGATTCTCACTTTTTAAAATCCCAATCACCATTATCTTAAGGTAATTCTTTCAGAACGTTATGTATCTGTGCAGTATGTTTCCAGATACATGTAGGAGCATACACAAAACTCTGCATGTTTGCACACACGCAGCAGTAGCAACAAAGATTTGTTCTCACCGCCATGTTTTCCAAAAAGGACACTTTTCTCTATGACATATGTGGTTCATGTACATGCATGAATTCACCTTGAGATAAGTGAGGCGGAAACTTTGGTTCTCTGTGTTCTACAACTCAGCTAAACTCACCCCACAGCAACCTTTCTGTAGACAGAGACATTCAAAAATATCTCGTCTTCGTTTTGATATTTATCTGTAATCTTTTGTTACTTTTTGACACCAAAAATACGATTAATGTCAACTGTTACCAATGGTCACTGCCACCATTGTCCTTCCTTTCAGCCCAAGGAGGTGCGAATATTTTTTTATCCAACGGACGAATGTCCAAGTCCATAGTTGAAGTGGATTTTAATATATAACTTCAGTATGTCCATAGTATAAAATATTTACAGAAAAACTCCGGGAAATTTTTATCACTGGAATGCAAATGGTAACATCAAGCAGCCGTGAACAAACTTTCAACTGGAAATAAGTGTGGAGCAGAAAGGAAAACATTGACTGCGTCACAGATTTCCTGGCAGGTGAGGGTTTGAATAGACAATTACAGGCAGAATGTTTTAAAAGGTAAAAGGACATCTCCCCAACGTTCTCTGAAAGGCTTGGATTTGCGTTTCTCACCAGACGGCATACTCGGAATCTATGGGATTCTTGCTTGGGTTGGGGGAAGATACCATAAGCCTTTCACATGAGGTGGATATTGACCCGTCTTTCCCAGACATCGTGGTCCCTGGGCTACAACCTGAAGGAACATTGGTCCTGATGCAACTATATATCTTTACTCCTTCCAGGATGTTTTGGCACCAAATTTAGTCTCGGATACTGTAGAATCTAACCATTGGAAGACATGGTACAGAGTACCATGTTGAATATTGACTCTGCATCATCTAAGTCCAAGTATCTTTGGAAACTAAAATTCCACCCTCTCCCTCGCTGCTTAGCAGTGTCTGAATATCCCTAATCTGTCTTTCTTATTACATGCAAATTCTGTTTATCTTGGCTCAGCCCCTGGAGATACAGCGAATGTCCCCGCCACAGTGAACGTTCATCTATAGATTCATCAATAGAGTTCATCAATAGAGTTCTCTTCTTCTCAAATACAACTATCCCGATTACTTAAAGCATTTTTTTCTGATTTATTTTATTTTCTATCTTTTTGATTATTTCGCTGATCTTTTCTTCCATATCTACCGTTCCTCCCCATACCTCAAGCTGGGAGACAGTAACCTGCTAAATGTAGAGCTCCCTAGAGCAGAA